GTGACCCCACTGCACCTGAATGGCCGGAAGAAATGTGACGTCGGTTCAACTCCCACCACCACCACCCCCCAGCCCTCCCTTCTCTCTGGGCTACCTGTTAATAACTCCACCCTCAGGCTAGCTGCATTAATCCATGCCCCCCCTGCTGGCTGTCTTTGCTGCAGGAGGTCATCACCAGGGTGTGTGTGTGTGTGTGTGTTTAATGGTGTCGTTTAAAATCACGCTGAGGCCTGAGATAACACTGCAGCTCCATCTCTGTTAGCTTTGGCTGGATGACACACACACACACACACACACACACACACACACAGAGTTAGTTCACAACCTCAGACGTCTACTATTTGAACTCCATAGAATTCAGTGGTAAAAGAAAAACAGGAGGAGGAGTTCAGCCCCCCCCCCCCCCCAAACTACTGCTCCTCACTCTGTTTACCCCTGGGGTAAAAAAATAGGAATGGATGTGTTTGTGTGTGTGATGATGATGATGAAGATGATGATGATGGTGGTGATGATGATGAAATGTGACCAGCGGAGAGGGTGTGGTCAGAGGAGGGGGTGTGGTCAGAAGAGGGGGTGTGGTCAGAGGAGGGGGTGTGGTCATACGAGGGGTGTGGTCAGAAGATGGGGTGTGGTCAGAGGAGGGGGTGTGGTCAGAAGAGGGGGTGTGGTCAGAAGAGGGGGTGTGGCGTGGTCAGGGTTGGGCTCAGTGTTTGTGTTGAAGTTAATGTGGAGAATAAAGCAGAGCAGTAAAGCAGTTTGATGAGGCTGCAGTAAAATTAAGATTCAGTGAGTGAAGCTGAGCTTTAGTTTGACTGCAGACACTTAACGAGCTGAAGGAACCCCCCCCTCCCCCCACACACACACAGTGTAACACATCCAGCTCCTTTAGAAGTTTCTTTAAATCCATCAATAATGGTTTAATTACATGCAGCTAATTATATTTAAGGTGTTTGTTTCTCATCAATAAAGGACTAACAGGAACTTTTCTCACAGATTCATGGAGTTCAGCAGCAGCAGTAACAGCAGCAGTAACAAGAGCAACAGCAGCAGTAACAAGAGTAACAGCAGCAGTAACAACAGTAACAGCAGCATTAACAACAGTAACAGTAGCAGCAGTAACAGCAGCAGCAGTAACAGCAGCAGTAACAACAGTAACAGTGACAGCAGCAGTAACAGCAGCAGCAACAACAGTAACAGTGGCAGCAGCAGTAACAGCAGCAGTAACAACAGTGACAGCAGCAGTAACAGCAGCAGTAACAACAGTGACAGCAGCAGCAACAGCAGCAGTAACAACAGTAACAGCAGCAGTAACAAGAGTAACAGCAGCAGTAACAGCAGAAGTAACAACAGTAACAGCAGCAGTAACAAGAGTAACAGCAGCAGTAACAACAGTAACAGTAACAGCAGCAGTAACAACAGTGACAGCAGCAGTAACAACAGTAACAGCAGCAGCAGTAACAGCAGCAGCAGCAACAGCAACAGCAGGAACAGCAGCAGTAACAGCAGCAGTAACAACAGTAACAGCAGCAGCAGTAACAGCAGCAGCAGTAACAGCAGCAGCAGCAACAGCAACAGCAGGAACAGCAGCAGTAACAGCAGCAGTAACAACAGTAACAGTGACAGCAGCAGTAACAACAGTAACAGCAGCATTAACAACAGTAACAGTAGCAGCAGTAACAGCAGCAGTAACAGCAGCAGCAGTAACAGCAGCAGTAACAACAGGAACAGCAGAAGTAACAACAGTAACAGCAGCAGTAACAAGAGTAACAGCAGCAGTAACAGCAGAAGTAACAACAGTAACAGCAGCAGTAACAACAGTGACAGCAGCAGTAACAGCAGCAGTAACAGCAGCAGCAACAACAGTAACAGTGGCAGCAGCAGTAACAGCAGCAGTAACAACAGTAACAGTAGCAGCAGCAACAGCAGCAGCAGTAACAGCAGCAGTAACAGCAGCAACAGTAACAGCAGCAGTAACAGCAGTAACAGCAGCAGTAATTGTTGCTGTTACTGTTACAGCATTCTGGTGTAAAAGTGCTGAGTCATCCTCTGTACAGGCGCAGGCATCAGTTCCACTTACTGTTTGTGTGGAACCTCCTGCTGTTCTGACCCACTGAGTGAGTGGTGAATGAATCAAGCGCTCCCTCTGACGTTCTCGTTGATGGAGACACCGTCTTGTAGTGTTTCCTGTTTCTCATCAGTTGCAGGAAGTGATACGTGGTGTTTTTACCTGTAAGCGTCAAGTGCTCTGTGATTGGTCGTCTGCAGCAGACTCTCCGTTAGCTTTCCCGTGTGGCTAACTATTATGTAAAGTGATAACGTGAGAACATTTGGTACCGAGTTCTCTTCTCTAGGCCAGTAATCATAAAACAGTTCCCACAAACAGTCACAGGTTCTCTTCACTCCTTCAACAGTTCTTGGTGACTGGAATGAGGTACTAATTAAAAATGGTTCCTGTGCACCAGCATCCTGACAAATCCAGTCGAGTTCAACGGTTCTGTCCAAGTCCAAGAAGGAACTGTGCCTTTGTTCGGTAGTTCTAAGTTCTAAGTACTTAAGTAAGTAAATGCACCACTGGTACCTCTGCACCTCTGGTTTAAACCAGTGAAGAGAGATTAGAATATGGATTAGCTGGATTAGCAATGGTCCTGGATTAGGTCCACGCTCCAGGGGTTTTCCTTCTACAACACCAGTATTGATCCACTGCTGGTCCGGCCGAGGCTGGTGTGCCAGCTGATCGATGAGGTCCAGAGACCTCTGCTGGACAGAGAGCAGCCATAAATCAGAGGAATCAATATCAGCAGGCTGCAGGTGATCAGTACCGATGGTTCTGAACTGAACAGTTCCCCGAGGAGACGAGCAGAGAACAAAACATCCCCAGGATGGACAGCAGAAACAAATATGATGAAATCTCCCACAATCCCCTGCAGCTGGCCAAGTTCATCCTGCTCTAAAGTTCTCCTGGTCCTCACTCTTCACTGGTTTTCATTTATTTATAGTTCTGTTCAACGACTGCTGCTCTAAGCCCCGCCTCCAAAGAAACACAGACCAATGACAGTGAGCATTGGCTGCATCCTGGTTAAAGCCAAAGTTGAAAGATGTGGTCACTAGCAGGTATCACGTGATCTGAAGGGCGTGCACGTGATCTGAAGGGCGTGCACGTGATCTGAAGGGCGTGCACGTGATCTGAAGGGCGTGCACGTGCGGAATTGAATCCATTCAAACAAAGGATTTGTTCAAACAAAGTTCCTAATTAAAAGCAGTTTGTTTGTTTTTCTGGCTCTGGTGACCTCACTTCCTCTGGTGACCTCACTTCCTCTGGTGACCTCACTTTTCCTGGTCCTCTTCTGCTGCAGGTCCATGTTGGAATCCTCTCAAAACCTGGTCCAGGACAGGAATGCTAAGTCCTGAACAGCCATCAGATCTGCCTTGTTTTGGCTCTGATACCAGGAGGTGGAGTGAGCCAGGCAGAACCAGAACCAGAACCACAACCACAACCACAACCACAACCAGAACCACAACCAGAACCAGAGGCATCTGCTGCTGCTTTACGGTAGATTCTTGTCTTTTAAAAACATCCACTGTTTTTTTTTCTGTTTGTTTTCTGAAGTCACGCTCCTGAGGTCTGGGTTCAGGTGATACTGATGCTAGTCTACCAGGTGATACTGAGGCTAGTCTACCAGGTGATACTGATGCTAGTCTACCAGGTGATACTGA